CTTCTCAGCCGAGGGGCTCCCAAACCTGGGTCTGGATTATCCCTGGCAGTCATTGTCTCCACCAGTGGCATCTGTCCTCCCCCAGCGCCGACCCCTTCATACTGCACGAGCCTCCACCCAGACCTTTGCAGCAGACTGGGGAGCTGGGCAGGGGGAGGATCCCCCAAGCTGAGAAGACCCTGAGTCAGCTGACATCACCCCAATGAACTACGATGAAGTTTCCTCCTTGGGGTGAAATGGGAGCTTGAGATGGAAAAAAGCCCAGAGGGAGTAAAATAAAGAAAGTGACTTTTTTCTGCTTTTCTGAAGTTTTGCCTTGACTTTTCCTGTCCCCGCTTGGACAGGAAACTGAACACAGGGGGGTCCCTTGGGAGAGGTTCCACACACGGGTTCTTGTCAAGGACCACCTCCCGGGACCACTGCATGATGGACGTGGCTCTGATTTTTACAGAGCTGTTCCACGCACGATGTTCTCTCTGCCATCTGCCCCCCCCCCGCCCCCCAGCAGTGGGACGGAGCCCAGAGGTTTTCTCTGATGCCGCAGAGCCGGGATTTGGGGCTGCTGCAGAGAAATAATGGACGTCATCGGTCCACGGCAGCACCGTGGCGGGGCCAGGAACACATTTGCTTTGCAGACACCTGTCACCGTTTCTGCACTGATGCTTGTTCCTGGGGGCTCACTTGTCTGCCACCTGCTCGGCGCCGTGTGGCCCCCTGGTAATGGGCTATGTAAATGTGCGAATGTACGCCAGGCACACCAGCCCGCTCGGCAGAACCTTTCTCCAGGCGAAGCAATTTGCAGCAAAATATGCTGTAAATATTTGTTCAGCCCAGGAAAATGACTTTAATTGCATAATTAAACTCGTTGTAGATGCTGCTTCTGGACAAAACGACTGGAGAAAAGCTGAGACCACAGCTGTCCTTCTGAGTTTGTTGAATAGAGGGGACTAAGCATTTGTTTGCAAAGACTTTGCTCAGCTCACACCCACCCCCCAAATTCCTTCATGCAGGGGGTTTCTGAGAACAGTCAGGGAGGACGGAGGAAGGGGCTTGGTGGCTGTGGGAGAGGGGAGAGGGGAGGGGGGAGGAAAAGTTCCCCAAATCAGAGAACCAACAGCAAAGTTAGCCCCCAGGCCCTCGGACAGGATTTGCACTGTGTTTTCCCAAAAGTTCTAGTGAACAGCCCACCTCCCATGGATAACTGCTATCTTGAGCAAATGATCAATTCCCTTAATTGGGAAAATCAAAAGAAGTTTGTTTTAGAAGAATACATTGCATCCTAGCCATTAATTAAAAAACAGGCATTCCTTGCGAAAGTGACCAGATCAACACGTAAATGTCCAGAATGGGCAAATCCACAGGGACTGAAATTAGATTTGTGGTTGCCAGGGGTCAGGTTGGGAGAGGCATTGAGGAGCAAGGAGTGATTGCTAACGGGGATGGGGTTTCTCTTCGGGGTCCTGAAAACGTTCTCAAATTAGATTGGGGTGAAGGTTGCGCAATCCTGTGACTATGTTAAAAACTATTGAATGATGCATTTTAAGCTGATGAATTTTACAGTACATGAGTTATAGCTCATAACGTGGTTTAAAAAGAGAATAAATTCAACAAAAACAAAAGTGTCTCTTAACTGGCATTCGAAACCTGTAGTCTGTCAAAGGCTCTCAGTTGGAGACCTGCGCTTGCCTTGTCAGAAAGGTGACAGGGAAGAAGGAGGTGGTGGGGCAGGTACAACCCACTGAAATTCACTCCCGGAGACAACCAGAAGCATTCAGAGAAAATGGAAAAAGGACAGATTTTCTTATTGTAGGGTTCAATGTCATCTAATGCCAGGCCCGTGAACCTCTCCCAGTTGTTACGAGCACCGTAAAATCATCTCACCAACTTCTAGGAGAAACAGGGCCAGAGAGGACAGAAACCGGCAAAAATCATGAATCGAGCAAGTGGCAGCCCTGGGACCACCAGGAGCCTCGGATTCCCGGCTGGCTTGCATTGGTGTTGACTCCAGTGCTATAATCCCAACCTGGTCCCCAGCAGGGAGAAGGACCCCAGAGAGCATCCCAGCTCTGACAGTGGGTCAGGAAGCTCACGCCAACTGGCTTGGCAATGGAAGGGAGGGTTCAGCTCATGTCACCACATAAGGGAGGGTCTAGACACATGTGCTCTGAACATCAAGGGTTCCAGCCATGCAAGAGGGCCCACTTTCCTTCCCCCTTCCCCTATAGCAGAAGCCTGTGGAAGGGGATCTGGGTTATGAAACTAGTATCCCCCACAACCGCTAGAATCCTGGCATGGTCTGGGGACAGGCTCTTCCTCTCTGAGCCTCAGTTCCCCCAGCTGTGCCGGAGTGCCCCGCCTTCCCCCTGAAAGTCTTTCCACCTCCAAACTGCCATGAAGTTGGAGCCATGTGGCTCCTCGGTGGGACCCTTAGAATTAGGGTTTAGTGAGCCCAGGTCCAGGTGCGGGGAGAAGGACAAGGTGGAGAAGGCGAGCTTCCTTCAGGGACGGGAAGAACACGTCCCACCCGCAAACAGCTCACCTGTCGCTCCTCAGCATGTCTGCAATCCTGCCCCAGGAACACCCCCCACTCCCTGTTCGTCCCACTTGATAACACCATCTGCCCCTCACATACCGCTCAATTCTGCCAACGCCACGTCCCAGGGAAGGGCGGTGTGGAACGGAACGCTCAGACTCACTGGCACATCCCCTGCTCCCCTCGGCCCTCCATCTCGGCCCAAAGCCTGGCTCCCTGCAGGCCATGGAGGGGAGAGATAGGCTCCCAACCTGCGGCTGGTTTGGTCTTCAAGGACACGGGCAAACTCAGGCAGTGGGGTACTCAGCTGGCCTCGAGAGAAGCCCTCACATCTCCTGGGAAGATGAAAGGGACCTTCTCCGGGGCCCAGGGGCAGCCCCAGGCCCACGGCAGCCCCAGGGAAGCCAGCATCTGAAGGCCTTGGCTGCCAGTCAAGCGCTAGCCCCTGCAGGGTTCGAGGCTACTTTTCGGGTCTGGGTGAAGGCCTGACCCCAGTGGAGGCCACTGGCTCGCGGTGAAGTTCTCTGCCAGGGGCTGAGGCTCCCGGATCTGGCTGAAGGGGCACCTTGGCGGCCCAAGATGGCCCCGGGGGACTGACCAGTCTGGCCGGGTTGGAGCTTCCCTTGGGATTGGCCTGAACCTCCCACCCCACGGTCCCCTCGATTGGCAGCACACCCTTCCTGCAGAGGTGAACTCCGGTCTGGCCTCAGTGGGCACAGAAGGCTTTATCACCATTAAGAGCAGGGACCAGGGAGCCAGAGGCCCCGGTGACTCACGAGGCAGCTGCTGCCGGGTTTGTAAAGCGGAGCTCAGAGCCATTAGCCGCTAGGAGATGAAATTTACATTTTGAATTAACTTGGATCATCAGAATGCTTCCTCTCGACCCAGGGAAATCAAACATAAAGTCGGAGGGGCTGTGGGCTGGGGAGGTAGAGGCTCAGCCAAGCATGCCAGATTGGCTTTTTCTTTTTCTTTCTTTTTTTTTTTTCCAACAGGCTGCAGGCAAAAGGGGACGAGAGGACACTGCCACAAAGTCAGGCTCAGAGACGGGAGGGAGATGGGAAGTTGAGATACTCTTTCTCTCTTTTTCCTTTGGGCAGAAGCACAATAGATCTGCGTGGCAGAATTAAATTCTGATCTGTCTGATCTCCTCCATCTCTTCCTCCCCTAATAATGGTTATTTATCGAGCACTTATTATGTGCCTGGCACTTAGCTAAACACTTTAGAGATAAGGCAGAGTGAATTTGTCTTCCCCTGTGCACCCCTTTCCTTATTTCCCCCACCCGAGGCCCTCGTGGGGAGGGAGTCTGAGGGAAGAAGTAAAGAGACAGTTTTATTAACAACACAAGGCTCCCCGAGTTACGTCAGGAAGTTTGTCTTTCGGACGCACTGCTCAGGAACGCGAGGCCCGAATCTGGCCACGAAGCCTGCCAAGGCCCCGCTACCTTCTCCCCTGGTCTACGCGAAGAGTGTGCCCTGGGGTTGTGCAGTGCCCCTTCTGTGTAACTGTCCAAGTTAGAATAGACCTCACAGGCTGGGATGAAAACTCAGAGGGCAAGCTGAAGACGTTTACACCTTCCTGTGGCCTCTGAGTGTGTCTGTGACCTAGCGGGATTTGTCCTTCCTGAAAAGGGGCAGTTTTCAGATGTCCCTCTAGCTTCATGCTGGTCCTTAGACAACGCGCCCCCCCCCCCCCCCCGCCGCCCCCAGCTCCATGGGGTAAGTTCTTTATCTATAGGGTCTTCCTGGATTCATGGGCGAGTTGACTCCCAGAACAGACTTATAAGTCATGTTGCTTTGGGTTGACTAGCTCCAATCTGATGTCCTTCACATCCAGAACCCAGATGGCTCAGAGGAAGGGCCACCTCCCCTGTACCATGGGCGTTGGTTCTTGTAGGGAGACACATGCCCTGGGCCCCTCCACGGGGTGGGTTCTGGCACCATGCAAACATGGGAGCAAGACCGAAGACTGGAGGCTGGGCTGCTCACAGCAGGGTCAGTTTTTCCTGCTGCAGAATAGGAGAGCCCATGCTCCTGATGAGCAAAATGCCTGTGTGCACTTCCCAGCCAGCCATGCCTCCCGACCATGGCAGGCCTCCAAGATCAATCCGTCACTTTCCAATGAATAGTTATTGAATGCCCTCTGACTGCCTGGCACTTAGAGTCGGCCCAAGTGCTTAGGTGAGCTGATCAGGACTGTCCTTCTTAATGAATTGGTCCCATAGGAGCCTCTGTCCTTTTCCCAGGGTCACTGAAAAACTTCAAGCCTCAAGTTATCAGGAGCAATATTTCCTACAGACAAGAATCCATAGGCTCACTTTCTGCCCCTTCCAGAATTCCCGGGTGGTCAGCCTCCTGGTCCACCTCCCATATTTTGTAATTCTGCCTGGGCAGCGAGTTGCATTTGCAATCTACCTTCCCCCACCTTTCCCTCTCTCTCCCCTCCTCCCCCCTTCTCTCCATCTATCAATCCAGCCCCTTACCCTTCCACTTAATTATCCATTTCTTTATCTTCCAACCATCTATGCCTCCGCCTGCCCTCCATCCATCCACACATCTACCCAGTTGACCATCCAACCTCCACTTAGGGGCTCATCTGACCACTGTAGGGTCCATTAGATGTAAACCCTTCATCTCCCTTCCATCCACCCTTTCATCTTCTCACCAGGGCAATGCACCTCCCAAGCTGTGAGAGCCAGAAGCTTAATCAGTTCTGCCTGATTTTCCCACAATACCATGTGTCTTCAGGACGAGGTAACTGCTAAGCTGGACAGAGCAGAAAAGCTGGATGTTCTCAGGGGTGTAGACAGATTGCTACAACGGTTCAGAGGAAGTGGCATGTGAGCAGCCCTAGTAAAATGATGTCAAGTTTGGAAAGCCAGGGTCGAAAGGACAGAGTATAGGAATTGCAGGTGGATTAAGGGGCACAAGCAAGGATCAAGGCGGGCTGAGGGTGGAAAGTTTGAGGATCGGTGCACCGTGAGTTGGGAGTAAGTGCCATCTAGACAGTTGGAAGCTGAGTGGGCAGAAACATGGCTTGGTCCTAGTAAGGTGTGTGGACCATGGGAAGTGGAGAGAGTTGGAGTGGGTGCCCCAGGCTGGAGCAGATTATGAAAAACCAAGCCGTGGACCTGAGCTGGGATTCATTTTGTTGGCACAGGGAGGAGACAGGAGGCTTTTAGTGAGAGAAACCTCAGTGGAGAGCAGACCCTGAAATCTGAAATGGTATGCTTTCCACTTTGGGGTGCTGGTTGGTGCCATCCTTCTCAACCTGGGGAGCTGGGCCCAGACCACTCGATTGTCCCAGGGGTCTCTCCATCCAGCCCACATGGCAGAACTCAGACGATGGGGATCTTGAACAACCTGAGTCCAGGAAACAGGTTGGCGTGGGGAGTGTGACCGACTGCAGGTCAGAAAATGTGGCTCTCCGTGGTTACTTCATAATGGCTGTGGCAGTTCCTGCTTCTCCACCAAGAACAAAGTGGCACCGGAAATTGAACAACTTCCCAGGCTCTTGCCTCTGGCAGGGGAGAAATCTAGGTCTTTTATGGTTTCAGACATAAGTGCTAGCCTGCTGTTCTGCTAAAAATTTCAGCATCTGAAAAGTTCCAAGCTAATTTTCAGGGGGGAAATTAGATGAGAAGTGGCTTTAAAACTCGGAGAATTCTTGTGTTTAAAAACTTGGTTGCCAAGGAGACTCTTTCTCCAATACTTCCTCGCCACTCCGTTATAAATGAAACCCCCTAACTGAAGGGTAATTAAGGTAACTGGTAGCACTTCTGCAGAGAGAGAGTGTGGCAAGGCAGCTGAGGGGGAAGGGGCTCCCAACTTTTGGGGGCACACCCCCCCGAGCCCTGGGGAACCTGGAACCACATGGGGGGCTCACGGGCACCTTTGGAGGAGAACATAAGCCAGCGAACAGCCGTACGCTGTGTTCTGTGAAAGGCCAAGCAAGTGATTGCTGAAAGGAAATCTTAAATGTCACGCTGCCACCCTGTTGGTTTCGAATAGGTGAAAAGCTCCGTGAGTCAGTTAATGAGCAGATTGTGCAGGCTGCGGCGTTCCGGCCCCCTGTGGCCGTGTTAATGTATGTGGTACCAGGCAGGAGCTGAAGCAATTGTTATTACCACCTTCGGGAGGGAGGCAATTTAGCATTTAGTTTCTGGTCCCAGCCATCCAGCAATCCATCTGTCCATTCATCTATCTCTCCATCTGTTCATTCATTCAGTTGTCCATTGGAACATCTACCCACCCACCATCCATCCACCCATCGGGCCAGCCAGCCACCCATTTATTCACTCATCTACCCATCCGTCTGTGTATTTGTCTTCCTATCTGTCCCATTCTCTATCTACCTAGCCGTGTGCGCAAGCACACATCCAACAGAGATGGTAGGAAGGATGGATGGATGGATGGATGGATGGATGGATGGATGGATGGATGGATGGGTGGATGGACGGATGGATAAATCAATGGATGGATAGTGACTGCACATCCACTATCTGTCTGTCCACCTACTTCTATTTACCTATCTAGGTATCCATTCAAGTATACGTTCATTTGTCTGTCCTCCATCCATCCATCCATTTATCCTCTCTCCCGCCATCCACCTATAGCGAACATTTACTGGGCACCCATATGGCTGGAGACAACACCTGCCACTTGCTGAATGCTTGTGTGTGCGCGCACTTTCCAGGCATCCTTCTTTAGTTCCTCCTCTCAACCTGGAGACTTGGGTGTTATTATGATCCCCCATTCTGTAGATGAGGCAGTAGGGGCGTTCTTATAGCTAGCAAAGGTGGGAGCTTGGATTTTTAGCCCTGGTCTCCACCCTGGGTGTAAATCCCCAGAGAGGGGGGCTGTGAGTTTGGCATCTTCCCAACCACCAGCGTTTTAGTCCTAAGAGCAAGAGTTGAAGGAGGATGGGGCCAGAGAGCAAGGACGAAAGACCAGGAGGGAAGCCTACATCTGAGGCTCCAGGAGCTGGGGGCTCTCGAAGGCCCGGATCCAGCTGCCCTGGCTGATGTTCTGCTCTAGCGTGCATGCGCACACCATCTATCGGGCCCCTTCCTCCTCCCACAGGGTAAATACTGCCAACGTGTTCGGGAAGCCGATGCCAAGGTGAAAAGTCCATAGATCAGAAACCCTAGTGGTGGAGGCTGAAGCCCCAGGGAAATGCTGTTCCCAGAAGCTGAGACCTTTTCCCTGGTGAGCTTCAGGCTCTTCCACCCCTCCACCCTCCACCCCTCTGCAGGCAATGCCAAGTAGGTAAGCTGGTGCTCCCAGCTTTGGCCTCCGCCTCCCCCTTTACCTCCTTCCAAGGTACCCTTCTCCCAGGATTAGGCTGGTTAGTGGTGGACTTCTGACATCCAGGGGGTCCAGGTGCAGAGCAGCATGGCCAGAAGGGGAGAGCATTCCCCGTGGCCCTGCACCAGGCTGGGGCTTTAGGTACCTCTTCACGGTGGATCCAGCCCACATTCCAGCAGCGAGTGGGCCCACTGTTTTCAGTTTGCAGAAGAGGAGACTGAGGTTCAGAGTGGTGAGGTGACTCCCCAGGTCAGATAGTTCATTTTCAAGGAGCAGAGTCTCACTGAACCCTCATGGTGCCACGCACACTTCACGGGGCAAGGGGCAGCTGCGCTGGGCTGCAGTGGGCACGGCAGGGGGTGAGGGCGTAGGCTCTGGTGTCAGCCACTTCTGAGCTGTGTGACCTCGAGTGAGTCCCCTTACCTCTCTATGCCTCGGCTCCCTGCTTTGTACCAGAGAGATAATAACACGACCTTCCTCTTGGTGGGGGTTCAGAGAAGGGGTGCACGTCAGCTGTTCTGAACATGCTTGGCACACAGTAAGTGCCCAGTACATGTCAGCTCGTTCCGATGACTGCCTCCCTTGTGTCCTGGGGCTCTGTAGGGGAGCGCCCGTCGGACAAAGGAGCCGTGCTGTGGGCAGGACCCCCAGGCCGGAGCCGTGGCACGGTGCGGAGGGGAGGATTGATCGGCTGGCGTGTCGGCTTGGGAAGGGCACCCCGAAGGCTGGCAGGGATGATGCCGTTGCAGCAAGCCACAGTTCCGGGGGACACTGCCACACTGCAGAGATGGGTGGGAGCTGGGACCTGGGGAGGGGCTGTCCCTCAGTGGGTCCTTGGGGACGGGTCTCCTGAGCTTTTTGTGGTCTGAAGAGACTGATGAACCTCTGTTGAGCGAGCCACTGAGGAACAGGATCTGGACTAACCCTCACCCCACCCCACCGGTGCCCAGAACGGTGCCTGGTGTCAGCCAGACATTCAGTGACACCCATTGGGGCCGACACTCCTGTGGGCTCCCATGTGGCAGAGAAGGCACTTACAGCAGGCTGCCTCTCTGAGCCCCCAGCCTCCCCCCCACCCGAGGCAGCCATGGCACCAAGATCCAGCTTATGGGGCTCACGGGGTGAGAGACTTGCCAAGGTCCCTGGATGCTCAGGGCAGGACAGGATTTGAACCCCGATGTGTCTGAGTCCAGAGGGGCTACATCTACCTGCCGCTGTCTGCCTTCCAGCCATCTACTGACCCAGGTGGAGCCAGGCCTGGGTTCCCCCAACGCTCTGCAGACACTACCAGTGGTTGGGTGAAAGTTTGAGCAACTGGGGACCATTTGCTGAGTGTTATCCCTGTGGCAGACTCTGGGGGGCTCCCATGCCAGCCAACTGGACATGGCCCTGGGCTTTGGGCAGCAGTTTTTGGTCAGGGGTCCCTGCTGAGGGTGGGCTCTGCCAACACTTCAGAGCTGCTTCCTGAGCCCAGAGCTAAGCTGATGACATTTGTGCCTTCCTAGATAAACAATCCTCACATCCACCCCCCATCGAGTGCTTGCCAGGTGCAGAGCACTGTGCTGAGTGCCTTCTCAGTGCCTCCTGGGGTCCCCCGAAAGCCCTCGAAGGAAATGCTGCCTTCATTCTCACACTGCGTACGAGAGATGGTGGGGGGCTCGCTGTGAGCACCACCATCTCCCTCGCTCCTGCAGACAGGTCCAAATGCCCTGCCACGGAACGGCTCGCTCGCCCCCCACCTGCCTCGGCCCCCCACCCAGGGAAGCAGACAGAGGTGCTACTGCCCCCGTCTCTCCAGGTGGGGAAACTGAGGCTCACAGCTGGGAAGAGGCAGATCTGAAGGCTCCCAAGTTTCTCTTGCTCACTGTGGACAGTCTGAGCGAGTCATCCAAGGTCACCCAGAGCCGCCACCACCGCAAGACGACAAGAGTGTTTTGACTTCTGGTCAGGCCCTCCTTCCATCCCGCCGCGCCGCGAGGGGAGGGAGGCGTGGGGGCCGCCGGGGGCCTCTTTAATTCATGAGTTACTGGCAGAAGCACAATCTCGGGGGAAGATTGATGACCGGCTGCAGGTATTGGTGGGCGGATTCATAAAGCTGTCGGCAGCGGGCCGTAAATCAGATGAATATTCAAGATTCGGCCCCGGGAGCAATTCTCCAGCTCGGCAGTAACAAGATGGATGCGCCGCAGGAAGGCGGGCGCCGTGGCCTCAGGAGCCCCCGCGTGAGGCTCTTTCCACTCGCACAGAGCTTCTGCTTTGCCTGGGGGACTTGGGGAGCTCGAGAGAGAGAGGGGAGAGGAGCTCATGGACCCCAAGCCCCAAAGCAGACCCCCCCTTTATAAAGATATTTTTTTGTCAGGGTATCTTTACATGCAGTAAAATACATAGGTCTTCAGGGGCAAGGGGGATGAGTTTGGACACTTGTGTGTCACCACCACCCAGATCAAGATCTAGAACATTCCATCATCACCCCAGAAAGTTCCCCGGTGCCCTGCCCTATGAATCTCACCTCCTTGAGCCCCAGGCAACCATTGGTCTTCTTTCCTTCACTAGAGGAGGGTTGTGCCTTATCCAAGACAGACAGACTTCTGTGATGGACATGGGTTCTTTCTCTTTTGCAGGCTGTGGTCCCAGGACCCTCTTCTGTGTGGCCGTGTGGCCCCCAGGAAGCCTTGACCATGGTGGGTTGAGCCAGTCCCCCACTGTGGCCGGCTGGCCTGTTTCCAGCTCTGCCAGAGGGGGGAAGGAAACTGTGAATGCCTGTCCTGGTCTTTCTGGGTACTTCCTCTTGGGTAAATACCTACGTGTGGAGGGCAGATGGCTGTAGAACTTTGCCGGGAACTGCCCCCCAGATTTCCAAGTGCATGTGCTTTGGCGCCCGCCAGCCCCGACCAGCTTTCCCTCTGCGGCCTCGCCGCCCGCGGTGATCTGCTGTTTCTACCCTCCCCGCTCGGGCAGGTGTGTGGGGTCACGGGCATGGGACACCCCTCTGTTTCATTCAGAGTCCCCGCTGGTCCTGTTCCCTCCCGAGGCGGCCGGGCTCTCGCTGAGCTCAGGAGCTGCATGCCTAGGAGCTCCCTTCCAAATGAGGCTGAAGCTGGTTCCCGGGGCCGCTGAGGCTCAGCTCAGATAACGTCCCTTACGAAGCTCTCCCGTGGTTGCCCACTGCACCAGGCAACAACCCCAATTCCTCCTGTGTGTGGCCACGAGGGCCCGTGGAACCGGACCTTGGCTACCCTCCCCCTCCCCCCCAACAGCCTCTTCTCAGGTCAACCATCCCTCCCGCCAGCCTGGCCTTGGCCTACCGCCTGGGTCAACTGCATTGGCTGTTCCTTCTGCCTGCAGAGTGGTAGAGGTGAGGTCTGTGTTTCCTTCTCCCTCACCCCTGCAGCCTCTGTAGCTGTCCCATTTTGGGGTCCCACGGGCTCGCTCGGGGGCATCCCTGAGAGTGCAAAGGCTTCGGAGGGCCCCACTGCCCTCCGCTCCACCCGTTGTATCTGGGCCCCAGTGGGAGGGGTCACCGCTGCCTTCGGCCACAGAGAGCTAGCTGGCTGTGGGTCAAGCTCTGGGCACTGCCTGTGTGGATGCCACCCTGAGCCCCATCGGACAGCCCGAGGTCGCTCTGATGCCGAAGACCCCTCCGTCTCCAGCCCGTGGGGATCGGCCTCTCTGAGCGGGGGGGAGGCCCTCAGGGGTCTGGCATCTCACCTGGTAAGGGAGCCTTGGGCTGGCTTTGGGCAGAGGCCAGACTCCATGAAATGCCTCCCTCTTGGGATTCACACCCTCCCAGTAAGGCCAAAGGAAAGCTCTTGCCTTTTCCTCTTCTGGAGAACATTTCCCCACTCCCCGGCTCCTGAGATGAACTTCCCTGCTAAGTCTGGGCTTTATTGCTTCATTGGTATCAGTTGGCACCATAGACAAATATTTCATGAAGTTGGCGCCTTTAGAAGTTAATACACGAGGGACCTCTCCGACACCCCCGGGTCTCCCCACGTGTCTGTTCCCCCCTCCACCCTGGTGCAAAGCCAGCCCCAAGGACCCATCAACATCCCAGAGGTCGGAGCCCCCGAGGATGGGGAAAGCCACAGGACCCACACCCCCTTTTGCTCACTGTTCTATCCTGGGGCAGGGGTGTTGACAGAGGCCACGTCCCCCCATCCCCCCGCCCCGGGGAGCTCTGCCTCCTCTCCCCAGAGCCCAGAGCACTACCAGCCTAGTCCTTGGGGAGGGGAATTGTCCCGCCTTATCCCTCAGTGGTCTTGCCAGTGGCTCTGACTTCTATCCCCGAACCCTGGTGCCATCCACCAACGCCTTCAATCAGCTCCCCCAAAGGAAGTCACCCCAGATCTTTCCCCGTTGAGTTAAAAGTTTCCTGGTCTAGACTTTCAAAGTCCGAGAAAGAACCTTAGCAACACAGGCACGTCCACAGGCAGACATGTGCGTCACGGAAAGCCTGGAGCCTGGTGATTGGACCGTCTCTGCTGCAGCGAGTCAGGCCCCCGAACGCTTGAAAAACAACATAATGTATTCCTGTCTGCAGCTCTGAGCAAAAGCTCATTTCGTGTCTTGTGTTTCCATTTCCTGAGGATTAATAAGTGTGGAGGGGGACTCGGGCTTCGTGCCGAATATTTATTTAGTCAATATACACATCAATTTAGCAAATTAGAGATTGCAAGCCATTTCTAAGCAATGCTGTAAAAATAACAGCTGTACTTTAAACTGGTAATGGATTTTGGTGTGGGGGTGGTGGCTACGTGCCTGGCACTTTACAAGTACATAGTTTAGGTCCCCTTAAACTTCAGCAAATGTCTGAGTCATCGTGGCTGTTTGTTAAGAAAGCAGACGTCTAAACCCCATTGTCTGGGGTGCATGGAAGGGGCCTGGGATGGGGGTTCTGGAACATGTTTGGAGAAGACAGAGTGGGCTTTGGGTGGAGGGACCCCACGGGTAGACCCTGACTCCGTTCCTTGTGGCTGGGTGACTGCAGGGGGCAGGTTTGGGGCTGGGTGATTTGCTGTTCAGGGCTCTGTAGGATGTTTCTAGTAGCATCCCTGGCCTCCACCCTCTAGATGCCATCAGAAGCAGCCCCCTCCCCAGTTGTAGGATCACAGGTGTCTCCAGAAATGGACACATGTTCCCTGGGCTGGGGGGGGTGGGGTGAGTGGGCACAATCTCCCCCAGTTGAGAACCACCGATGTATAGCAAGGTTCTCAGACCCTCTGGGGTTCTGTCTCTCCCTAAAGACCCCCTTCTGCAGCCCAGTGAGTGAGTGGCAGCGGCCCCCGTGCTGTAGGTGAGAGAAGGGGCTCAGGGAGGCGCAGGGACCCGCCCGGGGGCACTTGGCCAGCGCCCGGCTGAGCTGGGATGTGCAAGCCACTTCCTGCTTCTTGGAACGGTCAACGGCTCCTTCTCACCCCTCCAGCTTCTGCCCAAATGCCGCCTGCCCAGAAAGGCCTGCTCCGTCTCCTGCGGCTAGGGTAGCTTTTTAGCCCTCTGCCCCCCCGCGGCTCTTTCTCAGCACTGCTGCTCTCTTCCCAGGCTTTGCCGATGGGCACCTCCTGGTCTCGGCTGGGAGGTGCATCCCTCAGGGCTTTCTCCCTCCTGGTCCCTGCTGTTTCATCTGCACCTGGCACAGAGTAGAAGAATCAGAATGATAGAATGGCTCCCCTCAGAGGTTGCCAAGGCAGAGCTGCTGCTGACTGCCCCACATCATCTGCTCTCCCTGTCTTCTCCAGGAACGAGGACCCTAATTTTTAGCGTCTGGGCACATGGATGTGTGACTGAGCGCTGGCCAATGAGATGTAAGTGTAAGTCCTGTGTGTGGCCTTCCAGGAAGTACCCTTATAGAAAGTGAACAAGCTCTTCCTCACTCCTTTCCCCTTCTTGATGGCTGGAATGGGGACGTGATGGCTAGAGCACAGGCAACCACCTTGGTCTCTGAAGTAGAAGCTCTGTGCTGAGGATGGAGGGACAATAAGGTAGAAGGGACCTGGGCTTTGGTGACTTCTGGTTTGATTCTCTGTTCCATGTACCACACTGAATCCTAACCAAGGCTCTAGGCTTTTGGGAGTGCCCGGGATGGACGAAGGAGCAAATGCTGTTCATTCTGTTCAGGCTGCTCCCAGATCAATGGGTTGCATGGGGCCTTGCAGTTAGACAGAGTTCCCAGCTCCACCGTCAGATTAGTTCCCTCAGCTGCCAAGGTCAGAAGGGTCTCTGTGGTCTCAGGAGTGGGGCAAAGCATTGGGGAGCAGGAGGAGGACACAGGAGTGAGAAATGGTCTGGGCTTCCAGCCTTACTTCCACCCAAGTACTTCATTCATTCATTCATTCATTCGGTGAATGCCACTCTACACCTGCTAGAGGCTGGAGGCTGGATGATCACCACTACAGCTTCTGGAATCCTGGAGCGAAGCCAGCTAGTCGGGGGAGACAGACCACAACCCAGCGAACAGGGAGGCGACCGTGTGGATGAGGGTGGCCTGCTTGGCCAGACCCCTCGAGTGGCCCTTCCTGCAGGTGCGGCAGGCTGTCTCACCCCCGCCGGGCACAGTCCCCATCCCACCACTGCCGAGGCTGGCGGATGAATACCTCTCGTCCCTGGCCTCCCAGCTGGAGTAAACTCAATGTCAAGGTGACTGGTGGGATGTCCTGCACTGGATCCCAGGGCTCCCGCGGCTGCCCGAGGGGCGATCGTGCCCCATTCAGGCCCCTCCCACAGGGCTCCCTGGGATCACTCTCATCCCTGACTCCCTGTCTGCCCCGGGGAGACCCCAAACTCGGGCACAGCACCATTAGCATGTTTCACCCTCACAACAGCAACCCCGGAAAGGAGATACTCTCATTGCCCCCATTTTACTGCGAGGAAAATTGACCTGAAGCACAGAGTGGCTAAGTCATTTGATCAAGGAAAGCACAGGAGGTGGCAGAGCCAGGACTCGAATACAGACAGTCTGTGTGTTAACACCCTGCCCACAGCATGGCTTATAGTTGGTTCTGATTTTGACTTGAAGGTAGCCCAAAGCTCAGTGTAGACCCGCATCCTTCAGCCGTGGCCCCAGGCCAGCAGCAGCCCTTGGGAACTTGTCACAAAGGCTGAGTTTGGGCCCTACTCCAGACTGGCTGAATCAGAGACTCTAGGGCTGTCCGTCCGGAGATTCTGGTGCACACTCAAATTTGAGAACCGCTGGTGTAGACCAGTGGTGTAGACATGACCCGATCTATAGTTTTAAAAGGCTCTCTCTGGCTGCCATGCAGGGAATGGATGGGAGACAGCAGAAGGGGTCTCCATGTCAGGGAAGAGGGGCTTCAGGGGGAAAGATGTGTGCCATGGGGGTAGAAAGACGGTGTCAGATTCGGGCCACACTTGGGGGGTGGAGCCAACAGACCTAGAGATGGATGGGGTGTTGGTGAGGCAGAGAAGCAAAGAGCCCCTAGGTTTTTGGCTTCGAGCAGTCGTGGGGACAGGTATCAGCGTGGGGAGCTCTGCCGGGAAGCGAGTGGGCGGGGCGGGAGTGGGGTCCATGTCACGATGGGGGGCTGGGACGCACCTGAGGGGACTTGCACCTTGCAGCTGTGCCCCACTCCTGACCTTGCATCTTCCAATTTTAGTATATGTGCTGCCGAAGCGAGCACCTGACCTTGCATCTTCCAGAAGCCAGGCTCTCTCTGGGGATCTGGCTACCTGGGAGGACAGAGCTAGACAGGGCAGCCTTCGGGAGGGTGACAGGGAGTGACTGGGAGCCAAAGGCCATGCTGCAGGGGAGTCTGTGGCCTGCGACAGGCAGAGATTAGGGTGCTGACAGCTCTGCCCAGAGAGTCTCGGTTCCCAGTACATCAGGTTGAGATCCAGTAGGAAGGGCCAGGTGGGGCTGGACACCCCCCCCACACACACACATCCCCTCACCATGGAAGCGTCTTGGTTGTGATATCCTAACTGCAAAACACGCTGTGTTCACAATTGCCTTCAAAGCTTTAAAACAATGGTTGCTCCCCTAAATGTGGGCCTCTCCAAGGATGTCACATCCTAGCCTCACCACGGGGGCCTGGCTGTGACGCCAGTGGGCTCACTGTGAGTGTCCACATCAGGGAACAGAGCTATCCTAACCCCAGACACTGGCTTTTAAATGAACGTCCATTTTTAAAAAGCATTTAAAAATCATTCCATTGTGTGCATGCAGTATTTGGATGCTCAGGAAAGCAGCCTTCAACACGGCCCAGGGATGCTCATGTAGGATAGAGGGTGGGGAGAAAGGAGGATATTCAGGACTTTTGGAAATTGGGAACGAAGTGGGAGCTGTGAGAAGGGAAAGGGTTTGGAGAGACAGCATACCAGGCAGGGGACCGACGTAGACAAAGGAGTAGAGGTGGGAACGATCGTGTTTGGTTACCGGCCGGTGAGGCAGCTCTCTGAGCTCCCCCAGAAGATGCCCGGAGGTGGGCTGGGGTAGAAGCCGATCAGGCTGGGAGAGGAAATATGGGTTCACTGAATGCAAGAGCGTGACTCCTCAGGAATGACAGGTAGGGAATGAAAACCCATGCTTACCTCTCAAAAGGGCTTTGGTTTTATTTAATCTGCTCCAACATCCAGTAATCGAGGATCCACCATGTACAGGAACTTTGCACACATGAAGGT